CTGATCAAATCCAACAATCTACACTTGATTTTGTTATCTTTACCTATTGCCTAACTTGACAACGAAAAATGACCCCAGACTGACGAAATATGATCAAATTAGTAAACTTTGTTTTGATATCATAACAGATGTCCTATTACCTTTGATATTTGATTTAGTGATCTTCATTGTTATTCTGACTTTCAATATGTCCTATTAACTTGACATAAGTCTATTTTCTCACCCCTTAACTCTTTGTTATATATATGCTGAGATTTTGTAAATTCCGGTTTAATAATAATTTGATAAAGCTATTAGCATTAAATAGAGAAAAGTCAGTAGAAGCAATATCGTTTTGTTTCTCATTCATTGGGAAAAACAAAACCTTTATTATAAAGAATATCATATACCCAAAGCCCAGATTTTTTTCAAACCGTTAAAAGTGAACTTGGTTTGGACATATATAACTTAAGTGAATCTAACAATGTAGAAAGTTTGCTTATTTCTCAACTTTCTGTAGATTTCGAATAACTACATAATTTGTAATTCTCTCATTTTATTTTTTTTACTTTTGATTTCAGCTTGATTCCACACTGTATTTTTGGTACAAGTATGGAATTTTCAGCATGGATATCGGTAGCCCAAATTTTGCAGGCCGACCATAGATATCAGGTGTGCGTTGGCAGGGGATCGAACCCCGGACCATGTGCATGGTCGGCGAGAGTCCTAACCACTGTGCCACCGAAATTAAAGTACGATTTAAAACAATTAGTCCCTTTTATAAATTCTGATAGCGTTATTAGAAAAATTAGGTTAAATAAAGGTTAGAAATATTTTGACATAATAGTATTCTGTGACATCTCTAAGAGCTAACATAATAAGTATTTCTTTTTTCATTTCCTTGCTTTTGAGTGGAATATGTGTCTTCAAGCTTCATGTTAGAAGTTTTAGTAGAGACGGCATACGTTTTGAAAGTAGAGGGTTGCTAGCCCCATGCCCAATCTCCTTACATATCAGCACTCGCTACAACCTAACCAAGGTTCCACAGTACGTCGGTTTAGAGTCGAACACGAACAACCTAGTATGGTTCATCAGCATTCTACAAATGAACCAACGAGCGAAAATATTCGTATAAAGAAGAGAAAATATTTAGCTGATCGACATATTTAAACCTTGAAAAACCAGTCTCACTGCCTATGCAAAAATAAAGATATTATTATTATTATTATTCACTTCCGTTAGGAATGGAACATAGGGCTTCAACAACACAACTCCACTTTGTTCTATTTTCTGTAGTCCTATTCAGCTGGGTCCACGATTGACCATAATCTCTCATCTCCTCCTCGCAAGATCTTCATATCACTCTTGGACGACCAACTCATCGCTTCCCATTTGGATTCCACTCTAGCGATAGCCTAGCGCGCGACGTCATTCAACGGACTCCTCAATGTATGTCCTATCCATCTTCATTTTCTCCTACATATTCGTTGAGCAATAGGCTCTTCGTTGGTTTATTCCCACAGTTTCTTGTTACCGGCCATTCCATCTTCAATATCGAGAGAGAAAGCAGCTGTTGATAAAAGTCTGCGACCTGTTGGAAATCTTTTTTCTGACAAGCACGCCAAGTTTCTGGCCCAAAGAGAAGGACCGACTTGAAAATTCGAATCTTGTTCTTTATGCTGGCTGAGTGCAGAAGATTTCCGAACTGGTTTCAGGTTGATGAAGGTGCATATCGCCCTTCTGATTCTGGTTTTGACATCTCCATCCCTTCTGCCTGTCTGTGATTGAAACCGTGCTTCCTGTCTAGATAAGTGAAGGAAGTACCTTCTGTTGAATCTCTCTTTTTGATGGTGATTCGTGCTGACTGTTGTTGCTGTTGTTTCGTTGGTTATCTTAATCACCTCCGTCTTCTTTATGTTCACCTGCAGTCCCATCTTCTCTGGCTGCTTCTTCAGCCAGTTTGCTGTTTTTCGTCTCCCTCTAAGTCTTCGACTTTCTGTGACATTAGACACAAATCATCCACGCGCGAAATCCACATCTTCTAGAATCTTCTTATAAGTCAGTCGAACGTATTCCTGTCTTCTCACTCCCTATGCACAGTCTGATGCATAATCCAGTTCACCACAATTAAGAACATCATCGGTGATAATAGGCAGCCTTCTCTTACTCCTGCATTCACTTCAAAGGTAGGCTTCGCTGAGTTTTCCGTTGTGGATCACCTGAAACGTTGCATTGTCATGTAGCCAGCTGTCGAATGAGGTTGATAGAGACTTGGGCACTGCATGCCATAGTGTTAAAGCAGCTTCCTGGCTGAACTTCAGTAGCTTGTCGCATTCAAGACTTCTGATTTCGTTGGAGGATTGGTGTCCACTGGCAAGCAACTCTGTGCGTCCTGTTGGTGGTGGTGTATTTCTCGACGAGTTGCAAGTGATGGGCGATTCAAGAGTCCTTTGAAGTGATCAGCCCATTAATTTGATTTGGTAATCAGGTTCCTTCGAACATCTCTTATAGTTTTCATTATCTGGGTTGATCTCTTCGCGGAAAGCGAGCAGTCTGGTTATCTGATATAAGGATAATATTAATAATAATCACTTTATTCCAGAAGAGTCACAATTTATTGCATGGAATTTTCAGAGTATTTTTACATATTGCAGTGGTTTGCCTCTTTTTATAATTAGAATATTGTATATTATTTTAAATAATAAAAGAAACCCAACAAAATCACTCCATCTCTTGGTCATATTTAATAATAAATAAATAGTATTACAAATGACACATGCAATAATATGCATGATTTTATTTTATAGTTCAGGTATTGATTCAAACGTTGTAAAATTTCGTTTCTGATATTTGTCTCTTCACACAATACTCGTGCCAAATATGGTACGGTCGAATTTTTATATTTTGTAGTACGAGCATAAATGTTTATAAAATTTCTTCTGGTCTTACCCGAAGAGATACAAGGAAACAATTGTGAATAAAGAGGATGTTCACTATCAGATAAGATAACTTTAGCTAAGTGTTTACAAGAATTCATATGCCTATTGACAACAGTGTCATTTAGTTGAGTCGAAGGGATAGCACTGACCCTACTTACAGCCCTCAATGTTCTTCGTAGTATTATATGGTCTTTCTTGAGTAACATAGTAACATAGAAGGTAGAAGCGTGTCCGCTAACATTACCCTAAAGCATGCACGCGGACAAACAAACAACACAATAATCTTAATACAATGTATGACTCTAGTAGTTGTAGTAGTTAAGCATAGTAGTAGAGCATTATTCTCTCAAAAATAAGAGAAAAATGGAATACACTACAATTCTTAAAAAAACAGCAAAAATTAAATATCGTTGAATGATTGTACATAAACAATTGAACATTTAGTGCTTTTCACAAGTAAATTTAACCGCTAGAAAAATTCACATGCATAAATGTTTTAACATACTAATCTTTCATTAAACAAATTTAATAATATGATCCACTCAATAAGTATACAAATAGATGCAAACTGAAGGAAAACACCGATCTATGCCATTCAGTATACTGAATGGCATATACTGAGCCAAGTCAAAATAAGGTTAAGTAACTGTGTAGATCAAGATTTTATCGTTGAAATATTCTGAGATAATGAGAAAAAGCAATTATTTCCTCAGCGATGATTCAACCTTAGCTGACGTGCTATTCAAACCGGTTTAGAAAGCCCTTCTAGGCAAGTTGTCAAACAGGTAGAATACATACTAATGACTTTCAGTCAGATGACAATGAAATTATATCACAGAAACGAAGGTATTTACATTATCTTGATTATAGAACCTGGCAGTGTGATTGCCAATTTTTATGTTCATACAGCTTAATCTCTCTAAATAATGTATGCACTTATTTATCTTGTCTAGCATTACTATCCAGCCAATAGAAACCAACACCATTAAAAGTGTCTTCGTGATTTTGAAATATTCTTCAATCTCATATAGAATTTAATAAATTTCATTCATATTCAGAAGTTGGTTGTATACTTGCGATATTTATTTCTCAAAACTGAATGGTTTCAACTAAAGATTTCTGAAATCTCTGCTTTCACAGTGCTCCTGGTAATCTTTGCCAAAATCATTATACAATATAGGATGAAAAGTTATCGACCTTTAAAGAAACCATCTACCCATTTGTTGAAGTTAGCCGATAACAACAGCTTTCGTAAACCAAACGAGATTCACACAAATTCAGTTAAGGTGAACGTTGCACTTCGATACGTGAATCGGCTAGAACACTCGAGACAGTATCAAAGACCTCGGATAGAATTAAGTTCAGCTGCCTAATAAGCTTACCTCTTCTTTACCGATTCCACTAAATGCCGCCTCCATTTCACAACGTTTTCATAGAATTATACATTATGTGTACTGCACATTTTCAATATTACTTGTCATCATCAAGCTTCCGTTATAAACAATTAAAAACGGTTAGAATCTTACAAAAATTATCGGATTGTAGATCTCATGAAGCACTAGACCTCACAAAATAGATATGGCTTATTGCTGAGTAAATAAAAATATAATCGACCACCAGGATGAATTATGATAAGTGCTACTTTAACCATGCATTTTTAAGATAATTATAAATATTTTATAGGTCAGAGTATTCACTTCCCAACCGAAATAATGATCTACTACCTGGAGATGGCTAAAAACAAATGCCAAGATCACACACTAATCATAATTCATAACGCAGCTTTCATTCTTGTAATTTTACCATTTAAAAAGGCACTACTCTTAAACTAACGTCAATGGTCCAGTGGTAGAAAGCTTTCCAACAACTCACGTGGTCCGGGGTTTGAACTTCGGCCAACAAACTCCTGAATCTCGCTATGTCGGAAATAAGGCCAGTAAAGAGGGAAGGTTAGGCGTGTGGCTATCAACTCCACCATGTAAAAATAAAACCACCACTAACAAAACTTCGAAGCGCTGGCTTCAAACTCGCTACTTAAAAGGGAAAAAATAGTGAGTTTCAAAAATAAATACGCTAACTTACTTGGAATATAGAGTGAGTCAATCACTGATGGACCAGAGCGATAAAATATATAGTCTAATCTTTCTCCATTCCCGTATTCATTGGTCCATAACTGATTTCTATACGGGTTATCAGCTCGATCACATGTACATCCATCAGATTCCAGTTCCGTAATGTTTGGATTTTTCTTGGCTACAGTCTTCACCGAAGACAAAGGGAAACAAGAGGACAAAAGTGATACAAATAAGAACAGTGTGCCTGTATGTTACACAGGCAACAATAATTCGAGGAATAAAGCGATGGAAATATCGTCACCATCGGTCTTTGATACAATATTACAGAAAAGATAAGTAAAAGAATGTGATAATACAGTAACGAAAAATATGAACCAAAAGTACGTTTGTTTTACGGAGGTCAGTTATGAGACCCTACTTAAATTCTCTACTTCTGGCCTCTGATTTCCAAAATAACCAGATCTAGTAAACGTACACTTTCCTTTGAGATCCAGATCGAAGGCCAGTGACTTCATATATTAATGTTGAGAGTAGATTATTTACTCACGGTTTTTCTCCAACTAATTTGCATTTATACTGACTTAAAACGGTGAGTATGCATGAGCAATACACAACTCAACTACCTACAGTTACAAAGATTTATAGCATCGCTGACACCGATATTACTTGAGTCTCTATGCTGAAATGTCATACTGCTTAAGAGCTGGTTTTACGAAGCACAAGCAGTGGTATAAAGGGAAGGGTGCTCACCAGCCACACAGATCTACTTTTAATGGCCATATTTCAAAGTCACACAGTGCATTACTGTGCAGGAATATCAGATATCTAACCCAGGCTACAAATACAAGTTAGCAAAGTCCAAACGAGAACTCCGCGCAGCAACTGCGATTTCGTCAGCCACTTTCCAAGCAGGTGAGGTGTTTGAAACGCTCAAATAATAATAATAATAACAGCTTTGTTCCAAACAGTATTTGTGGTACACGTATGGAATTTTCAGCGTACATTACAACATACTGCATCTAATTACCTCATAAATTTTATAAGATTTTTAAAATCAAAAATCAAAAAAAGCAACGCCAAAAAATAAAAGATAAATAAAAAAATAAAAACAACAGCGTAGCGTTTACATTTCAAACAATGCACCACAGGATATGAAATATAGAGTTGGTGTGTGATAGATGAGAACAACAGTGTAATAGTAACGAAGAAAGGAAAACAAAAACTAATGGGATTATTTGTTAGAGTGCCACAGTAAGTTTATCGTGTCATACCTAACGGATTTCTCATCACATAACAGCTGTGCCAGATATGGTATTGTGGAGTTTTTGTATTTGGTGGTCCTAGCATATAGCCGCCTATAGCTGCTTCTAGTTCTACCAGATGAAATGCAAGGAGACAACTGCGTATAGAGAGGATGCTCGGGGTCTAACAATATTGTATTCAAGTGTTGGTTGCTGAAGAGTCCCAAACTAGGACGAAACAGCTGTCCAGTACTCCCAGGTTTTCCAATGGTTCTCTAACTAATGTCAGCTCATGATGAAATCCTGAAATATTGTATTCGCACGTTCTTACATGACATTATATGTCTATCCACAATAGTGTTAACCAGTTGGTTTAGCGATATCCCACTTGCCCGACTAACGGCTTTTAGTGCCCTTCTCAGTAAAGCAAAGTCTTTCTTAAGTAGTCCAGGAAAGATTAATGGGGAGCAGTAAAGAGGGATGGGTAGAATACAAGAATTGACAAACTGAGAAAGCGAAGACTTCTTTGTGCCACATTGCCTAAATTTCCTAAAGTAGAACGTTAAGCGAAACATCTTTCTAGTAACTAGCAAGATGTGGGAGGACCAGGAAACATCGGTGGAAAACCTCAGCCCAAGGTACTTGACATTAGATATATTTTCAACCTCTGTGCCGTCAATGATAGTGGGGCCATGTGAGCTAACTAGTTGCTGTAGGTCACGTTTACGTCTGAAAGTGAAATTGACTACCTGACATTTAGACGGATTAAGACCGTTTGAAGAGGACCACTGACTAATTTCCGACAGAAAGTTATTTAATTTGGAACAATCTGACTGAGAGTTGACAGTCATAGAAACAGAGAGGTCATCGGCATACTTAACAAAAGTCGCTACATCAGAATGAGGCAAGTCATGTAAGAAAAAGGAAAACAGAAAGGGAGAAAGAACAGCACCTTGAGGAACACCAGCTAAAGTAAGTGAGGTAGTGGAGGACTTTCCATTGTAGACGGTGTACTGCTTTCTATCAGAAAAATAGGAATGCAACCACCTATTTGTCCAGCTCTCAGCCTGTGTTGCAGCGAGCTTACTTAGCAACAGAGACCTGAGAACAGAGTCAAATGCAGATGTGTAATCAAGGAAGGCACAGCTCCTTTATCTAAACTAGAGACTATACTATGATGTAGGACAACAGCGTCATCTAAGGTACACCTACTATGTTTATAAACAAACTGGTTGGGGTCATTGAAAGGCTTTAAAGAGGGTTCAAGATTAAGTAAAATAAGTCTTTCCATAACTTTCAAAAAAGGTGAGGTAATAGCAATGGGTCTAAACTTAACATTTGGTCCACTTGTTGATTTAGGCACTGGAACAATCTTGATATTTTTCCATGATTCAGGTATAATACTTTTGGAAACATTCGTTGAAAATGTCAGTTAATGGGGAACTTACTCCACATTAATATCAAGGTGATATAGATGAAACCCACTTTATTTGGCAGTATATGATATCTGACTTAAATCAAGATGAAACGAGGATTTTATTAGGAATGAAAATATGATAACTGTCACCATTGTTATTGTTTTCATTATTGACAGATACCGTAGGAAATTAAGGGGCAATCCAATGGAGGTATGACGACAAAATATGTTATACTATGTTTTCCACTATAAAACCCCTTAAAATTTCCTCTTGTTAAATTTTATGACCAGTGTTCACAACTTTGCTGAACGAAAGCTTTTTAACAATAATAAAGGCTTATTTCAGACAATATATCGACACAGCACAGAAATTTTCAGCGTATCTAGTTGCAAAATATTTCGCTTCCATGCAGGATTTACTCGTAATATAACAACAATATATCATGTGGTATAGTGTTGTTGTATATGAAGAAAGAACCAGTTCTGTACATTTTTTCTTGCCTTCTTTTAAGAATTGCACAGCGTTTTGCTGAATGCTAACTAGATATGTGCGCGAGTTCATGAAATAATCATCTAATATATTTCCATGATTAAAACAAAAAATGAAGAAGAGTTTAAACATTTTAATGAATGGGAATTCCGGTAGCCCAGTATTGCTTTTAACAACATCTTATTACTTAATATCAACATAAAATATATAAATACAGATCCAACAACTCAATCCTGAAAATCAACAGGAAATTTTAGATAATCACAACCTCTGTTAACAAATGTATACAAATGAGTAATTACATTCATATTCTTAAATGCTAACCAAAATTTTATTGCTCCATGAATCTGATCTTACTTCATTCTATAAACTGATTCAGATATGAAACGAAGCTTGAGTTGTGACACACTGTCTAGGAACCTGAGGTTCAACCACTAAGTGACGAGGTCCAAACCTTCCTGCACTTTAGCAGTCAGGTAGTATCACTACCCTCCACAAAATAACTCAGACTAACTTTGTAGTTTAGTAGATTTGTAGGTCACTAGGTTATTGTTCGATTCCCATTACGCAGTGTGATATCACAGTTCTTCATATTACTGAATGAACTTCACAGACTGATACATAAATCTAAACTACTTGGTTAAATTACATTATTATTCACTATGGTAAAATATTCATAGTTTTGTTGGATATTCTTCTTTTTTTAGTATAAACTATTGCTAGATTATTCATAATGAATTCACTTTTCCACATCCGCATCCACTCCTTGTGACTTATGATTTCCAATGAAACTATTTTGATCTTCGTTACTACTATTCCTTTGTCTCACACCTCTGTTTACTGTCTCTATTATGCCTTTCTTGGACTTTCTTCTCTTACTTTGTGTGCTACACGGAGTGTGACGACTTGAACTACCGCACATATGTGCAGAGTTCTATGTCGAAAACAGACAGACAGACAGAATTTTCCACAACGTTAGTGAATAAATAGCTCAATAAATAGTAAACGAGTTCCAGGTACAACTTATTCCCATGAATTGTTTACTTACCGGGGAAAAATATCCTTGCTAACTGTTTACAACAGCCTATGAATTTATTCAAAAAGCAAACTTGAATATTCACACCGTTTGTTTCAAATAACTAGGTAATTACTAATGCCGCCTTTGAATAAAATGAATATGACGTTTCAGTGTCTGTTTGTTTGTTTTTACTTTAGTATTAGTTTGTAGAGAATTTGTTTGATTGGTTAAAGGATTTCATCATTGTGTATCTTACTACTTGTTGAATGTTTTACTGAATCGCACAGCAATTTGTTCTGTCATAAACCGACACTACAAAGCACGATTATTACAGGTGAAACGCAAACGAACGATTCATTAAAGAGCACTGTATATTATTGTCTTTACCATTTATTTAATAAAAAAACTCGGACACTGAGGAATGTACCACACAAAATAATAAGACAATGATATAAAGGAGAGGAAGGGGAAAAGAAGACAATTAGTGAATCCACTGCATGATGCTAGGAGAAGAAGAACAGACCTATTGCATTAGCATCTGCTGAAACATATCGGTGATATCACGCGTCAGGCCCTCGAGCGGAACCCGAAAGGGAAGAGGCGAGTGGGACGTCCAAGTGTGACATTGGAGGATATTGTGTGAAGAGGAGTTGAAACAGTATGGACTAACATGGATGCAGGTGAAAAGTACAGCAGAAGACAGAAGTAAGTGGAGACGTGCAGTTGAAGCCCTATGTTCCACTAGGAACCCAAGGGAACCATAATAATAATAAATAATGCAGTGATGAAAACCGACGAAATAAAGTGGATCCATGTTATTCTGTCACAATATCTGTTCTTTCTCTGCTCAAATGTATGTTCACTGAACAAAACTGTTTTTCCCTACTAGTGAAAATAGGTGTATCTAGTGATTTGAAGAAATGCAAAGAGCCGGTTAGATTCAAGGGACTTCGATATTCTGTCATCCTTGTAGAAAAGAAGGCAAATGTTGACGCTATTAAAAATAAATACGACAAAACTGATTTGTTGATCTGGGGGTCAGTTACTATATATCAAACATTAAAACTGCGTATGTTAATCATCAGCCTGAGTGAAAGCATCAGTTGACAGCACATATCTTGAATTTCAATACCTTGATTATTTCATAAAATGTTTCCGTTGAACGTGTTTGTACTCTAAAGCTGTATACTTGTACACAACCATCAAACTTTCATTTTGATGTCACTGTAGGTGAATAGCTTTAATGCAATCAACTGAGAACATTTCCCTGATTACATGGTTAATGACGGATGTCTCTACGGTATCGAGTGGAACAGAAGACTTCGGATGTACACCCCCATTTCACGTAGAAATTAACAAAATTCCATTTTACCACTTTAAAAGATGAATTCAATGAAAAGAATATCATTTCATTCTCTGAACTACTTTTTTCATTTAGTGTAAAATCCATTTCCCCTAGTGTACACCTTTAGGATGGAGGTATTTGGCATGTTGCAGTATTATTGAAGAATACATTAATTCACATGATTCACAGTTTGAACACAATGGTCCTAGATACCAGACATATGTTACTGTGCAAACACAAACTAAATACCTCGCTCTAGACATCATTCATATATATATATATAACCATTTCCTACAGTGAATTAGCAATAACCACGATAACTACATGATAAGTTCGCTGACTTCGCTACCAGAAGGCACAGATTCGAATCCTGCATAAAACAACAATATCATTAAAGTTACAGATATTCTAGTCGTGAGAATGTACATGAACCTAAAACAAAGGTTTCTAACAACTGACACCCCATGCTTTATTCACGAACCACAGGTTAATGTATGAAACGGTACCAGGTGACTGAATTTTAAAATCTGAGCCATACACGTACATGCAGAAAATGCATGTCTCTGCGATAAACTTATTCAGTACAAGTTATGCTGTCATCATGTGATAAGAAATCAATACTGATGTGCTTTCTAAGACACACATTTCAGCTGTTAGAATGCCTAAATGCATTCAGTTAAACAAACAATGGATTTCAAGGGAAATTTAACCCTTTTATCATTATTCACTGAATAATAGTAAGTAGACATAAACGAGATTAAGCAAACCCACAAGCATAATAATGTGATGTCATTGAATTATATATATATATATATACCATGTGACGTTGATTTATCATTGCAATTAAAAGAACGTAAGCATAATTTATAAATAACCTACAATCAGTACTAACATTTCACAACAACTGCCATTCTAGTAATAATACTTTCTTTTTCTTTGAGGATTAGACATTATCTACTGGAGCATGGATTTTCTGTACTACTTCCACAATAAAAAGCATGTCGACTCATAATGTTAGTGTGTGTGTGTGCGTGTGTGTGGTAATAATTAGCTTTATGTTGAAACACCGACTAGTTATATATATTTGAGCATTAGATGTTAGGAGTCAGTGTGGGAGAATTCTGAAGTGTCTGAGATATTCGGCACCACAACTTGAGATATGTACCACTAAGGTGCACTTGAACAACAGAATTTTAGTCCTGACAAAATTTGAATCCAAGGTCAAACGACTTACAAAGCTGAAGTTTACCGAGTGCTAGTACCAAGTTTCTGATAGTTAAAAAGAACTATGACATCATTCAGTACATTAAGGTAAATGTTGATTAACTGAATGACTGAAAGTTCTCTAACCATACGTTGAATTCAGCTAAGAGATATCGCACAGAACACTTACGATTTCACATGTTTTAAGAGGCTTCTAAAATGTTGTTTTTTTTTCCTATAGCAGCAGACTGAATTAGGTGGGTTTGGATTTGATGTAATTTGTAAGAGCTTGATAAAACATCAGGTAAATATTATTCTCCAATTTTTTAAACATAGTAGATATGAGTAAATGTTACACCATAGAAGCCACTACTGATTACGGTAACTTATAAGACTCACAGTTTAAGGCTACCAGGAGAAATGGAGTGTCTATAGTCCTAAAGAAGAACAAAGATGCAGTCAAAATTGGCGCGGGTGCCGACTACGGCCACACGACGCAAGGACTCTGCAGTGGCACGATGAAGTTACGTTATGTAATGGCAGTGTGGTTGGTAACACATTATATTCACCCTTCGCTAAAAAAGCTTTCAAGGTATTTCATCGCATACCACTTAATCTTTCCAATAGACTTCATATTCGTCCACTGCACACAGCTGAGGCGGTAGGCATTCGAACTATTAAGCCTACATTATGGATTCAAAAGGAGTTCGTACGGCCATTATCCCTTCCTTGGTCCATTAAGGTTTAACCAACTGATGACTTCTCCACCACCCTTTACTTATATTTACAACCCCTCTCACATCATGCCTTAATCTTATCACATTTTCATTAAAATCTATTTTATTTACTTCCCTTACAATCCAGCATTACTTAATCAGTTCATTTGTTTTTCTTAGCCCCTATCGACTACTTCAATTTGAACATTTGTTGAACTAATCATGATGTTAGTTATATTGAATTATTATGTGAGTGCTTTTGGAAAACGTTCGGTTGCCTCTAGCCAGGAGTATTTTTGAACTAACACTTCACCAGTAACTCTATCAGAACTCCTTTTCTTTTATAAATCACTGATTGACAAAAACGATGCATTTATTTTGGTGCTTTTCAAATACACTTTTTAACAAAAACTGACATAGACTTCACATAATTTCTATTGTACCCAGGCAATTTTACAATAATCTAGTGAATTAAATCGCTCATATATGTATATACCTGAAATAACGTCAATAAACTAATCTTTCTTCAGTAGTGAGACGAAAATAACACTATGGTAGACCCAGTAAATTCTCTTTACAAATTATGACGACTTTCTGACATTACGATAAGAAGACTGTAACAAATTTATGTAACAGCTCCTATCGATGATGACGATTACTAGTGAACCGGCTAGTATTCACAGCTCAACTTCAGCTGTGAAGAAGTTATCTTTCATTATAAGTGATATCCAACTTTTTTGTAGGTCTTATTAATGTAGACTACACATTCAAAATTATTTGCGAGAAATAATGGTTATTCATCAGATACTCTGAAGACTTTCAAAAGGCGATTCTATTTTGCCGTTTCACATTGGAAGTTCACTCCAATTGATGTACCAAATAACTTATTATTTATTACTTCTATGTGTAGGTAGTTAAGTGTCCAGATTATCTGGGGTAGGAGAAATTATTCAAGGTAACATAATCACTTCTACATATCAGAAAAATCTTAAGAATAAATTAATTAAAAAGCATTTACTACTGCAGAAAAGTCAGTTAAATCTGGAGTGTTGTGTCGATGTCTAGGTGCAGATGGAGTGCAGAAAGAATGTTTCATACTGATCGAGGTCTTTCACCTGAACTCACTTATATAACCATGTATAACTTTATTGATGGCTGCCGTACGAAGTGGTAGAACTTAGTTATATATTAAGAATAACAACAACTTATCATTTCCGGATAAATTTATCATATGCATGTTGTGAAACTTATATTTCCTGCCAATCAAAAATAGATTTCCTACCAAGAAAAATAGTCAGTTGACCTGAGTTACAGAAATGACTATTACAATCATAAAGATATAGGTGAAATTAGTATCCTGAACGTAATAAGCTAGTGTGTTAGGCATGTATTTCATCACCGGATTACTCTATCGAAGCACAAATGTAACTTCTATAATCATCGTATTCTCAACGTACACTGTCTACAAAGTGCAATTATTCCAAAGTCACTACGAGTTAAACCTCTTGAATATTCGCACAAATCCATACTCGCTGAAAATCATACCTTCAAAGTATTTTTACGAGGAAAAATACATAACTGCAACGTCAAATTTGAATCTTATCGAACGAGAATCAAAAATATAGACGACTGTTTAACATTACTTGTTACAAGCCATGTCTATGAATCCTTTCAAAAATTGTTTAATCAACGAGAATCTCATTTTCATAATGTCACTAAAAGAAGACAAATAGAAAAATTATTGAAACTCGAAGAAAAGAAACAAACAAAATAAACCTCAGCAAATGATATGAAGAATATTACAGCCATACATAACATGTCAGACAAGATACTAACCGAAAATGAAATCTCATTACTACAGAAAGCTCTGAATTTCAATATCACTAGAAAGCCATTATCGGTTCAGGAAATAGCACCTATGATCGAACCTGCTCTACAACAACTCACCAATGAAGAATCACAATCTGCTCGTCAAAAGATATCACACATATTAATCACACAACGAAACATACCATCTAATCTCACCAAACAAGAATATGAAGCCTTGAGAAATTTGAAGAAGGACAAAAGCATCGTTACAACGAAAACCGACAGGGGAAACGCGTCACTGAGGTAATGAACAGAACGGATTATGAAAAGAAGGCGATTAAACACCTATCTGAAGGATCATAGTTACTTATTGAAGAGAAGAAGAAATCCGCCGAATTCAACAAAATGAAACTAAATACAAACAGACTCCTTCAAGAAATGAAACCCAAAATTGGAAATTCTCTCTGGTTTAAGCTAAAACCAAAATCTTATGTACCTTCAAGATTCTACGGTCAACCAAAGATACATAAACTCACAGTTCCATTGAGACCAGTAATAGATTTCACCAACTCACCGACATACAACCTATCTAAATACTTACTCTCGGTACTACAACCACTACAAAAGGATACTCAAAACATTGTAAGAAACTCATATGATTTCAAATCCCAAATAGAACACCGAGAAATTGATTAAGAAGACATTATGGTAAGCTGTGATATTAACTCATTATATACTAGTATACCTATTACCGAAAGTCTTGATGTCATTTGCAGTCTACTAGAATCAGGTACAAGGCTATCACAAAGATGTCCACTGGACAACAGTGAAATAATTAAGAGCTTGAAATTCTGTCTAGAAAATAATTATTTTACATTTAAAGGGAGTTTATATAGACAGACAAATGGTGTTGCCATGGGTTCACCAGTCTGCCCAATAGTCGCCGACTTTTTCATGAATAAATTTGAAAATAACATCTTTTCAAGCATACTCACTCCTAAAATATGGTTAAGATATGTAGATGATACTTTTGTAGTACTAAAACGAGATATACACAATTCATGCCTGGAGATAACAAACTGTGTATCTCCCAGTATCCAGTTCACTTCGGAAGCTGAATAAGATGTCGGTGAACTACCATTTCTAGACTGCCTAGTTAAGAGAAAGGAAAACGGACATTTTAGTATATAGATATATTCAGGAAGAAAACCCACTCCAATAAATATTTAGACTTCAAATCATCGCACTCCATCAGCACAAAGATTTCAGTTGTTTCAAGTCTTCTTAGACGAGCACACTCTCTGATAACGGATGACAAAGAAAAAGAAGAAGAAGAAGAAGAAATATCAAACATTACTGAAACTCTCAAGCAAAACAACTACCCAAGGACCTTGATCAACAAAATCAACATAGACACCAAGTATGGACGAAAACGCATTCCGAAAACATGGACATCAACAGTCGTCATTCCATATGGAGCAGAGACGTCAGACGATATCAGAAGAGTACTCAATCATCTCGACATTGGAGTTTTCTTCAAAACGTCAGACACACTACGAAACAACCTTGTCCATATAAAAGACCAAATCCCAAAAGATTCTCTATCTAATTGTGTCTATAAAATAAAATGCTTGCAATGTGATGCGATATACATCGGACAAACATCTCGAGAAATCAAAATCAGAAGAAATGAACACCGTAGAGCATCTATTTGACCACCGAGAAATCCGGTTGAACTAGAAAAACTTGAAAAATCATCAGCCACATAGGTCTACACGCTATAGAATCAGGCCACAAAATTGATTTTGACAATATTCAAATCACCATCCAGAAAAACTTCAGAAATCACAAAGAACGTCTAATATCAGAAGCACTTCATATCAAGTGAAATCCAAATTTCCTGAATAGGAATGATGGACTAAAACAGAATCTGACCTGGTTACAACACCTCCCTCCCTCATGAAGTGACAAAATCAACACGAATGTGATAAGCAAGTTCACTATGTAAACACACTCTACTTTTATCATTTCTATTTTTTTATTTTTTATTTACAGCTTGATTCCACACTGTATTTTTGGTACAAGTATGGAATTTTCAGCATGGGTATCGGTAGCCCAAATTTTGCAGGCCGACCATAGATATCAGGTGTGAGTTGGCAGGGGATCGAACCCCGGACCATGTGCATGGTCGGCGAGAGTCCTAACCACTGTGCCACCGAAATTAAAGTACGATTTAAAACGATTAGTCCCTTTTGTAAATTCTGATAGCGTTATTAGAAAAATTAGGTTAAATAAAGGTTAGAAATATTTTGACATAATAGTATTCTGTGACATCTCTAAGAGCTAACATAATAAGTATTTCTTTTTTCATTTCCTTGCTTTTGAGTGGAATATGTGTCTTCAAGCTTCATGTTAGAAGTTTTAGTAGAGACGGCATACGTTTTGAAAGTAGAGGGTTGCTAGCCCCATGCCCAATCTCCTTACATATCAGCACTCGCTACAACCTAACCAAGGTTCCACAGTACGTCGGTTTAGAGTCGAACACGAACAACCTAGTATGGTTCATCAGCATTCTACAAATGAACCAACGAGCGAAAATATTCGTATAAAGAAGAGAAAATATTTAGCTGATCGACATATTTAAACCTTGAAAAACCAGTCTCACTGCCTATGCAAAAATAAAGATATTATTATTATTATTATTCACTTCCGTTAGGAATGGAACATAGGGCTTCAACAACACAACTCCACTTTGTTCTATTTTCTGTCGTCCTATTCAGCTGGGTCCACGATTGACCATAATCTCTCATCTCCTCCTCGCAAGATCTTCACATCACTCTTGGACGACCAACTCATCGCTTCCCATTTGGATTCCACTCTAGCGATAGCCTAGCGCGCGATGTCATTCAACGGACTCCTCAATGTATGTCCTATCCATCTTCATTTTCTCCTACATATTCGTTGAGCAATAGGCTCTTCGTTGGTTTATTCCCACAGTTTCTTGTTACTAATTCTCTCCAACCGGCCATTCCATCTTCAATATCGAGAGAGAAAGCAGCTGTTGATAAAAGTCTGCGACCTGTTGGAAATCTTTTTTCTGACAAGCACGCCAAGTTTCTGGCCCAAAGAGAAGGACCGACTTGAAAATTCGAATCTTGTTCTTTATGCTGGCTGAGTGCAGAAGATTTCCGAACTGGTTTCAGGTTGATGAAGGTGCATATCGCCCTTCTGATTCTGGTTTTGACATCTCCATCCCTTCTGCCTGTCTGTGATTGAAACCGTGCTTCCTGTCTAGATAAGTGAAGGAAGTACCTTCTGTTGAATCTCTCTTTTTGATGGTGATTCGTGCTGACTGTTGTTGCTGTTGTTTCGTTGGTTATCTTAATCACCTCCGTCTTCTTTATGTTCACCTGCAGTCCCATCTTCTCTGGCTGCTTCTTCAGCCAGTTTGCTGTTTTTCGTCTCCCTCTAAGTCTTCGACTTTCTGTGACATTAGACACAAATCATCCACGCGCGAAATCCACATCTTCTAGAATCTTCTTATAAGTCAGTCGAACGTATTCCTGTCTTCTCACTCCCCATGCACAGTCTGATGCATAATCCAGTTCACCACAATTAAGAACATCATCGGTGATAATAGGCAGCCTTCTCTTACTCCTGAATTCACTTCAAGGGTTGGCTTCGCTGAGTTTTCCGTTTTGGATCACCTGAAACGTTGCATTGTCATGTAGCCAGCTGTCGAATGAGGTTGACAGAGACTTGGGCACTGCATGCCATAGTGTTGAAGCAGCTTCCCGGCTGGACTCCAGTAGCTTGTCACATTCAAGACTTCTGATTTCGTTGGAGGATTGGTGTCCACTGGCAGGCAACTCTGTGCGTCCTGTTGGTGGTGGTGTATTTCTCGACGAGTTGCAAGTGATGGGCGATTCAAGAGTCCTTTGAAGTGATCAGCCCATTAATTTGACTTGGTAGTCAGGTTCCCTCGACACATCTCTTATACTTTTCATCATCTGGGTTGATCTCCTCGAGGAAAGCGAGCAGTCTGGTTATCTAATATAATGTCCTGTGATCTCTTTTACCTACCGCTCACCTGCCTGTTCTGCTTCAGTTTCCGGCCAGTGTGTCAGAGAATTGTCTTCAGTCTCTCGCAGCGCTCTTCTTCACTTTTCTATTCAGTGCAGTGTACATTGAACTCCACTTCTCCTTCCCCTGTTGTGCATCTCTGCATTGAGTCATCTTCTCTTTCCCCATCCTCCTCTCCTCTCCTCGACTAGCTTCTAGGTAGAAGTCCGTTGACAACCATCCCCTGTCGTGTCGCTTCTTTCTTCCTAGAATAGTTGCACACGTTTCCTTGAACATCACCATTAGAGAGTTAGTTCCGATGTTCTTCCACACACAGGTGTAGGTGTCCTCAGTGATAACGCGTAGTGTCTCCGACTTTGTTCTGATCTAATCTGTAGTGAAGATATCCCATGTAGTTTTGTCCTTCACTTTCTGCATGCTGAACCTAAGTTGTGGCCTGTCTCCAGTTGTTTTGAGGGATTTCAGCTCCACCTTGGAGGTTCCTCGAACCAGACAATGATGAGAGTCCACATCTGCTCCCCTTCTCAACTTTGTGTCCAGCAGGCTAGCTGCATCTCCACTTTCTTGAGTAACACTGAGACGAAGTCTATCTGGTTTTTGGTGGGCCCTTCATGCGAAATCCATGTTGCTTTGTGTATATCCCTGTGCTTGTATACGCTGACTCCGATCACCAGATCATTAAAAGCGTAGAAGTCTGCGAAGAGTTCTCCATTCCCATTCATTTCGTCCAGAGCCTCTCAACCCATGATAAGTTCTCTTCATGTATTATCTGGTCACAGTTTGGCATTCATATTACCCATAAGGATTTTGATGTCTCCATTTGGAATGTTGTCGACTACTGTTTTTAGTTGTCTATAAAAAATTTCCTTCTTCTCTTGCTTCGCGTTGTTTGTAACAATGTGTGTAGCATTGGATAATTGTGACCTGCCTTACTTCCTTTCGAGTTGAATCTTGCTGTCATGCTCCTGGATGAAATTGGTTCCGACTGCATAAGAGCTGTGGCTTCCGCTGGTGACATCATGATAGTCACTCACTGCCTCTGTGTGCTTGTGGTTGTCGTCTGGATGACCGGAGCAGACAACTGACTTACCAGTTGACAATTTTGATAGTCCACATCGATTCCATCTGGTGTCACAGATGCCCAGCATTTCTATGCCATATCTTCGCATTTCTTTGGCTACATCGGTAGCCTTCCCAGTCTCGTACATTGTACGTAAATCCCACGTCCCCATTCTTATTCTTGCTTTCATCGAGAGGAGATACATCGACTGGCTGACTGGTTTCCCGGAGGCTTTCACCAGCTCGCGTAATTTCGCCTCTCCGACTCCAGCGAAGAATAAGGTTGTTATTTGAATTATTTGTATTTTAAATATTTTTTGTGCGTTGAAGTTTCTGTAGGAGTTTGAATGGTTTTACTGCGTAGGGTCGATGGTTCTACTCCTAACCCTCCGTCTTTACGCGGGCTTGAGAGAGGCTAGAATACTGGGAAGTTAGTTAACTAGGCGAGGTCTGTCTGCTCTAAGAAGAAAGGAATAAAGAAACACATGACCACCTAGCTTTAATGGCAGTAATCTGGTGAATGGTGACCAGCAGTGGGATCGAGGGTGCTACTTTTGTCCCACCTGGAGGCGTCACTAGTATGTACCTGCATTCCCTAGTGAGTGGTGCTATTCCGACTGATTCGAAACTAAAATCTATCGTTCGAAACATGTGTTATTCACCAGAGCACTTGGGCCACAAGAGCCACGTTTTGTGCAATGGAAATTAGTTAATATTGGTTTTTTAAGTCAATTATGAGTTTTCCGCTGATTGATTGGACCGTAAGGTTCAGACTCTGTTAACGAGTCGGCTCTCAGTATGGACGCTGCGACGATTTCTGAGGATTAATTTGTTAAGAGAGGCCAAACATTTCAGTCCAATTAATATTAAGGAAATTAAAATTGATCTAAAAATAAATAATAGCTTAAACTCTATGATATCATCTACTTTCAAAAGCGATATTTCACAGGTGAAGTAAATAAGTAACTGACTATCTTGACAGTAACAGGTGGCTAACTGAAACGAATTCTTTGTATTTGAAACATGCGGCTCCTAACGTTTAAGTTTCAGTAGGGATGATGTTGTTTTTACGGTTTCAGGTTACTAGACTCATGCCTAACCGTCTTCTCTTTTTCATGCTTAATATCAGCTAGTACACAAAGCGGAGTTTGGAAATGTGTCAACGAGGAATCGAACCCGAACATCCAAACATGCTTGATGAACGTTTTCTATTAAAATTAGATGTAGTAAAGTCTGCATAAATGCTTTCTACTGAAATAAGTTTCAAAAAAAGTGATCAAAACATTTCTCGAACTCGTCCTGAAGAAAATACTATCTAGTAGAAGCAGAAAAATCCTACTTTTGAAGCAATCTTTCTTTGTTTTAAGTAATATAAAACTACATTTCGACTCTAGCTGATCAGACAACTTAAAGGCTTATCCAGTCAGCAGTCTGTTCTGTCTATTCCTCTCTCTTACACACATACACACACAACTCATGGACAGAACATTTTACCTACTTTGCGTTCGTCTGAATGTAATTTTTATCTGCCTTCTGTAAGACGAAGCCAGTGCCTTGCCATACATTGGATTATTACAGTTTTAATTTTGTACTCATATTAAAATTAAAGAATACTCCATAGCATAACCAGTGGTACACCAGTAGAATGCTCGCCAACGAAGCGTGTGGTTCTGGGTTTGATCCCCAGCCGATGCACTCCCAAACCTCGCTAAGCTGATAGTATGGTCGGTAAAGAGGGAAGGTTTGGCATGAGACTAGCAACCCGACCCCGTAAAAATAAAACCATTGCTACCGCAATTTCAAAGCTTTAGCCTGAAGCCCCATGTTACATTCAGAACATAAAGGAATAAAACAGAAATTTAAAAAAATCACAGCATAACAGTAGAGTTTTGAAACTGATGTCATGAAGCCAGTATATGTTGAGAGTTGTAATTTTAACGTCTTAAAATTCTCATAATTTTGTGAGATTTATCTTGTATAACTTTTTTAGTGTATTTATTTACAGAACATCTTTTGGATAGGTTTTCACGATTGACAATCAGCTTTTTAACCGTATGACATGAATTCTGGTACACAATAAAAATTAATGTGTTCGCGTACAGCATCTTGTATGTTGTTATAATTCTTTAAAAAGCTTAATGAATTATATCCCGTTGTTAGATTTTTTCCTCCATAAAATTGTTAAAATCAGGCAGATAAAAAGGTACAAGAACAGTAGGCCATTTTACTGAAATATATCAAGCATTAAATGAGCAGTGCGTAAAATATTAAATTCATTGAAACAAATGCCAAATAGGGCAAAAAATAATTCAGGAAATAAGTAAATAATGGTAAAAAAAAATAAAGCTGCTAAGGATATAGAGAAAAAACACTTTTGGGGCAGTGCTTAAGACTTTGTATGATACGATACAAAAACAAATTGAATGAGTTTTTACATTTTTTGTTAGTCAGTAAGAGCTTCTCCGAGTGACAATTCTTCAGGAAAACCAAACATTGGTATGAATTACATTGAAAGCGAAACATATGGTTATTAAATCTTTAGTACGGAAAATTCCCTAAATGTATTCTATTAAACTAGTTTAATACATAATTTTGAATAAAACATGATTTAGAAACAACCATTCTGTTTAAAATCAGTGTACTATGGATTCTCTGAAAATTTGGTTGCTATCCCCAGTCTGAGTATTCTTCCGTAAAGCTTTCAATATCGCCCTAAATGTAATCTTAAGTGCTAATTCACAAGAAGTAACGCTTTATGTACTTACTCCCTTCAACGCCACAAAAATTAACAAAATAACCCGTTTTAGGATAACAATAACTAAAATATCAGTCCTTGCGTTTCTATTATAATCAGCTGTTGAACAAAACTTATTTAATTAAATAAACCACTTTTGATATAAATGCAATGTGACAAATTAATACAGATGGAGAGCTGCGGCTTCTATCCATTCGAGTATCACTTAGGAGAGAACGTACCATTAATACAATGCACATTTCAGAACAAGTGATAAAGTACATAGATGAAAAGGTTTTTCTCCCCTAACGTTTTTCCTTCACCCATCATATGAAGCTGCACTTTAATGGCTTTTTAGAGAGCTAACCAGCAGCCGAACATCCAAACGATGTTATTGTATACTGAAACATTATAGAGAAATAAAAACTTTTCGATCTCATTACGATAATCAGTGATGAACTGCTAGGAACTGCTGATGAGACTGCAACAGTGACGACGCACCATGAATTGGAAGCTGAATCAGAGAATTTAACAATCACATAGCCATTTTGGAGATAACATATCAGTATATTGCCTCTAAGTTTTTCATGTGATGGAATATCTGCTCAATTATGCTTGGTGATTTATTTTTAAGCGATAAAGCTGAGAGTTACTTAGGAAACAAGATCTCAATTATTGCCCACATTGATTTCCAAACGTATATACTTTGACATTTTAAAAGAAATGTCATGATGACGAGAAAATGACTTTGTTGATCAATTCCCTTAGGAGGTTCTCAGTATATCATAACCTACAAAGGGAAATTCCAATCAGGAAACCAACCACTTTATTTAGGATATTCAGAACCTAAGATGTTAATATTCATCACTATATTCTGTTTCATGATTACAGCTGTCTAAATATTCCGAGCAAAGTCTTGACCGTTGTATTATTCTCACCATAATATATTATCAAATATTTTGTTGACTATACAATCAATTTTTCAGTGTCTTTTTTACATTTCTCTTTTCTTTTAAGAAGTTAAAATAAAACTTGAAGATCAATAAAATATTTTGAGTGAACGCTCAATATATATGAATGATAGGCTACAGAAAATAACTGAATCAGTCACATATTTATAATGTGTATTTTTTAAGACAGAAAAATATCACTCAGCAACTACATGCGTTTCCACGTACTTCGCAATACGCTACATATATTCTCCCAGTTAATAACACACTATCTGACAATTTGAACTGCTGTAGGCGCAGAATGGCTGTAGCTTATAATCAACAGAATGAAAGATGATTTCTTAAAGTGAAGAATTACAGCTTCAAATAAACAATGCTGCAATGAATGTATATACAGTGTGTACTGGAAGAATGACTCTTTAGGCTGTAATGGGGAATGTCACAACAACCTCAAATAAATAAATACCACAAGATATGAATGTCAGTGGACTGAATGAGTTGTATGTGTGTATGCATGTAGTGAGATATACAACATATGCAAATAAAAAGATGTGACATATATATGTATATATATTAAAGATTCCCATTGTAAAATCTAGAACATGTGTGAGAGAACAACAGTGTTCTCAACTAGATCTTTTCGGGCTTTACTGTAGTTTGTAGGAATTCATAAATAAATGTTAAATATAAGACAATATTTTCCACGTATATATAATATATAGTTACCAAAGCATGAAATAAAGGACAGAAGACAACAAAATTATCTGTTGTAAAAATTATCAGTGTTAAACAAACAGAACGGTCAGATAACTAAATCATTAGTGATTGATGCAATGGACTGGTGACTGGAACTAAGACTAAAATCAGAATTGAGGGAAGATTCGAATCAGAAGTTACAGAGTTACTGATCATACGGTATCTAGACTATCATAATAGATGCAGTTGTTAACCAGATCACAATTTCACTTTAGGCACCAAGTCTTTTCCTCAGTTTTAGGGTGAATATCGTTTATGCATGAATATCGTTTAGACAGATTAGCTGCCCGGTACATTAAAATTCAGTCTAAACCACACCCCATCAGAAGACAAATTGACGAACTGTTTGACAGATCATTGCTTATGAGACTAAGTGACCAGTGAGACTAAGTGGAAACTACGAAAATCTGAACAAGGGTTCTGTATCAACGAGTGCGACCATGGTAATGAATATTCTATGTATATACTCATGCAATAAAAGGGTACAACTCACATTGTTCAACCATGCATCAGATAGTTTCAATGATGTACGAAATAATTCAATTGCCAAAGTATCTGATTCTAGATTGAAATCCCCACTGATAATGATAGCATCTGAACCAGTCGATGTCATTCGAATAAACTCCATCACCTCAATTAATTGGGAAATTCTATGTCCATTATATTTATCCATTGAACGATTCAACTCATAACGAGCAATTAGCTTTAAAATTGCAAACACAATTGAAAATTTTGACGAACGGAATTCTGGCCATTCTGATATATTACATATATTCATAAATGATTAAAAATATAAACTTAAACAGTGCACAATTCAAATATGAAATTTGAATAAATTTCTCCCAACTACAGAACTTTTTAACCGTACATGCCTCTGACCTCCTCCGGGATTGGACAGATGACAATCACATTAGTCAGTGAATATTCTATCAATTGACTGGAATACAATGGACCACGATTTCCACTTACCACTAGTGCACGATATAGCCCCACTTTGTCAAAGAGTAATGGTCCGCTCACTCAATTTGGTGGGCTCCAACCCTCAGTGATTCACAAGATTTTTGAAACCCATCTTGATAATAATCAGCAATACTCAATCCTGATTCAGTGACTGCATAGTGACATCAGGAAGGTAGACCTCATTTAAATTTGAGAGTATAAAAAAATCAATTCCAAACTCATCTGTCTGTCTGTTTTCGACATAGAACTTTGCACCGACGTGCAGCGGTTCAAGTCGCCACCCTCTATATAACACACAAAGCAAGAGAAGTAAATAGAAGAAATGCATACTAGAGACAGTAAACAGAGGTGTGAGGCAAAGGAATAGTAGTAACGAAGAACAAAGTAGTTTCATTGGAAATCATAAGTCACAAGGAGTGGATGCATCTGCGCCACTGAGAACGATTTTGAGCCATGTCACCAATTGTTTCCAACCATTGGTTTTTACCGTCCTGAGGACCCCAACCAGAAAGTCTACACCTTCCTACGTGGCTTAGACTAACTGTTGTAGATTTCATTGACTGGTGCCATGTTTTGGTTTGACAGTCGCTATCTCTTTTCCAACCTGACCCTATGTCAGCTAACATTGCCCGTCAAGAGGGCGATGACTAGGCATGCGTAACACATGTCCTAGCCATCTCAGTCGATGTAACTTCACAACCTCGTCGATTAATTTCCCCTGCTTACCTAGAACTCGACGCCTCGCCTCAATATCGCTCACCTTATTATACCACTTCACACGGGAAATAGAACGCAGGCACCTATGATCAAAGAGAGCAAGCCACGCTTTTCATGCCTTCCACTCTCCATGGCCAGGTCTCACAGCCATAAATAAGGACGGAGCGGACTGATGAGCAATACACCCGCCCTTTGGTCACTAGTCGGATATCACCTCTACGCCAGAGACGGCGTAAACTGGCATACTTGAAACTAGCCCTCTGCATCCGTCCTGAGATTTCATCAGAAAACGGCCACTTCCTACTTTGCTGTTTCATGTGTATTTTTAGTTATTTTCAGCTATTGGGAAACTGTAAACGTGAACAACTAAATTTTGAGTTTTAATAGAAGACAACAAAATTCACAACAAAAATAAAAAATATAACAATATGCAGTATGTCCTTATTAACTCACACATGTTCACTAAGTGGATAGCAGAAGAAACTAATATACATATATATATATATATATATATATATATATATATATATATATATATATATATATATATATATATATATATATATGAGAGATAGAGAACAACTAGTGGTAAAAGATGCATAAAGGTAAATTTTGAAAGCAGTTCAGTTACTCGCTTTCTTTTTATACACTAGGCCTGGATGCATATTTATGTAAGGGCTTTCCATATCTAAAACAAGTGAAGAGTTTAACACAAAGTATGTTGATTTATGGTTAGATGGCATAGCTAAAATGTACTGCTATTCCGATATAAATTATGCTTTAGTAAAACCTGATACATGATGAACGGATAGTAGTGACACTACTAACAATATTTTATTATTTCACAACAGTTGAAACACCCAACATCCAAAATTAGCGTCCAATACAGAATAATTGCGTATCCATTTAGTCGATTTATTAGATTCAAGTCGTTTTACCTTTTAAATTTAAAGACACTTGCTTTGTCACTGCACAACAGACGAGAAAATTCCATTTCATTCCACCAAAACACTTAGTTTACGAAACAAAACATGCTCACTTAATTTTAAATGTTATTCATAGCTACTAACAGCATAAAATATAGCATCGACAAAACTGAGACAAATGTTCTTCGATTGAACAGTGCACAGAAAGAGAAACGAAGTTACATGAAAGAGAAAAAATAATTAAGACCAACTGAAACAAAAATTCAGGTAATTCCTCCAAAGAGTGTGGACTCAAAAACGCATATAACAAAAATATATGATCACTAAGATAATCTATAAAACTACAAAAAAGGCCAGACAAGGTGTAGAAATAGTGGAGCCAAAAACAAAATTTAAGGTAGAATGAATTATTACCGATGAGAAAAAATCACATTAATCAATATACTTCTGTTGAGTTCGCAATACAAATTAATTGTGAAGGTGATTTACACATCTACTTTGTACACTGAATCAATCAGATAATGAGTCACTATATTTGTGAGGGGGAATATTTGAGTCATACTTTTCAGAAATGCATACGACATGATATGTCCATATTTCTTCGTTTTGTGTAACTGATGGCAGCTACGGAACCTAAGCCGAACCTTCGTAAGCATAAAGAGAGTGATTTATTTGACATTAATCTGGTAAGTACATACTGATTTGGTTAGATCATCTCATTACATTCCAGTAATCGCAATTTTGAGGATTGTTTTATTTCTCAAGGCTTCACACTCATCACATGTTTGCTGGGTGTTTTTTAAATTGACAAAGAAATAATTAGTGATATTAATCCAACAGTCCTGTACAGGGTTTTCATATATCAGGGTGTGAACCTGTGAAGGCTAATGATAGCATCCAATACCTGGGTTGAAGTAGGTGGAGAGGGTTAGAACCTAAGATCTACTGGCTCAAGTCCAATGCTTAACCCAACGAACTGCATCTTCACTTTGTTCATATTCAGCTTTCTCGATGGATATATATACATATATATGTAATCTATAATCTTAATACTTCATTTTTTGTATTTTTCTATTAGCCAGATTTCAGAAAACTACAGTAGACTCCCTCAAGAAATGAAATTCATAATTTCTTGTACATAGAGTAGTTACAGATTTATCTGTCTGTCTGGATTCAACATAGAACTTGGCACCGAAGTGCAGCAGTTCGACTTGCCACGTTCCAAATAGCACACAGAGGTAGACAAGAAGATGAGTGAAGAGAATCAGCACAGTCTGACAAGTATAAGAGTGAAACAGAATGGGTAATGGTAGAAAGGAATATGAAAGATTACAGAGACTGAATACATCTGCGCCATTGACAACGATTTTGAGCCATGTCACCTATTGTCTCCAGCCATTGATTCCTAGAGTCCCGAGGGCCCCAACCCGGAAGTCTGCATCTCCCTGCCTTACTCAGTTTAACTGTCAAGGATTTCATGGATTGATGCCATGTTTTTGTTTGGCCACCACTTACCCTTTTCCAACCTGCGCCTATATCAGCTAGTGATTCCCGTCGGGGGAGGCGATGGTTAGGCATGCGCAGTACGTGGCCTAGCCATCTTAGTCTATGTAACTTTATAGCCTTGTCGATTGATTTTCCCTCCTTGCCCAACACTCTACGCCTAACGTCAACATTACTTACCTTGTTAAACCACCTGACGTGAGACAGGGATCGCAGACATCTATGATCGAAAGCAGTCAACCTTTTCATGTCTTCAACGCGTATTGGCCATGTTTCAGAGCCATAGAGAAGGACGGAGCGAACTGGTGAGCAGTACACACGTCCCTTGGTTGATAGCCGGATGTCACGCCTACGCCAGAGGTGGTGTAAGTCAGCGAAGGCAGCTCGAGCTTTTTGGATCCTTGCTGAGATTTCGTCGCCAATCAGTCCGTTGGTGCTAATACAACTTCCCAAATAGGTGAAGTGGTCAACATGTCCTATCACTTCACTCCCTATCACTAAGCCAGGAGTTGACGTAGTCCAGTCCTGATTTATGCAAATAATATGCGCACAGAATTACCAAGCTGTTACATTATTATACTCTGTCGGGTGAAACAGCATTGTAAGTCGAACAGTCATATATTTCTTCAAGGCTCCGTGTTGATTTTCCTTACACTTACACCGTGAGTGGTATACAGATTTACCAAAAAAGTAAAACTGCATTCAGTAGAGATCAGTAAGCAACCACATATCACTGTTAAGCAATATAACAAAAATCAAGCAAGGAGAGTAATTTTTAAGACCTGTACCACTCAGTTAATATTCCTGACGTTAGTTTAACACTAATAATGCACAAAACTGAATGGAAGGCAAAAACTTACATGCGTAACGTATAAATTGATCCTGAACCCTCCTCTGGTTGTGATTCGAGCAAGCCCAATGCCTTTACCACAGTAATAATCAGCCTGGTGGATCAGGTGTGGATATCCATTAGCAGTGAAAGGGTGTGTAAACACGCATTCTATCGGCCACTTGCAGAATATACACATGCCAGTACCTATTAAGTTACTAACACAGTCAATAAGTCTTCACCGCCAAATTACCAGTGGAAGTAATTCGAGTAGGGATACTTTTCGCTCAGCAACGACTGAAGCTTATCGTAATCCGCATCAAGCCAAATCTAAAAACAGCTCGGTCATCAACAAAATTGTTAATACCTCCTGCAAGAGTATCACATCGAAATCTCCTTGTGACAACCGCAACGCAATAGCATTCAGTCTGTCTTCTTTTCTTACGGTGGAAGAAGGAAAAAACACAGCCCTTAAAGTAAATGCATGAAAATGGTACGAACCAGCAATTAAATGTCAAAACCTTGAACTTTTCCTCAACCATTTCTGCACTTGGCAATTAAGTGAATGAACCACAGAAACGAGCTGACAGTTGTCAGCTATAAGTCAATCTGACGTTTTTCGCTTCTGTGAAAAAATAGGAAAAGATTTGAATGAAATATTTTTACAATCCACTACCACATCAATGAAATGATTGTATTAGTCGACTAATGTGAAGGCAATTACTAACAAAACATAACCATACGACCTACATCTCCAGAACGATCCGAAATTTCGGTTTTCTTCAACCTGCGTAATAAAAACAGTAATCTCCAGAGCCGATTAGCAAACAACGAACGGTATTTCAAACTAGGTAGCGACGTTTTTTTGTAGATCGCTCCGTCGCTGGTGCGTTGCCTTGTCGTTGATAAAAGCTTCATCCGATGTCCAATGTCTGAATCGGAAATGAGAGAGGTTCAGTATGGAAGACTAACTCAGTGATGGCAAGAGTAAACAAAAAACACCAAGGTCAAATGACTTTGAAACATCTAATTAGATCGTTCATCATCCAAAATGTAGGCGATTCATGAACTTCGTTGCAAGTTTCACCCAGATTCATTTTTGGACTTCTGTGTGGAAAATAGGTTGATGGGGAGGTCAGTGATTTCACTGACATTTTACACTGCTTAGTCAAGAATAGGCTGATCATACGAAAATACCGATCAGCCTATTATCGCTTTCAATAACCAATGTCGTTTTATGCGAGCTACTGTTAACCAAATTGATTTCTTTGAATGGAGTAAATCCTTTCAACAGTTAGTCCTACTGTACCATCGACAAAAGAAAAGAGATAACGATAGTGACGGATATAAAAAGTGTAGGTTATACAGAGAAAAGAGATAATGAATACGTGAAAGAAGACAGCTAAATAAATTTGAAGTTGACATATATGTATATATATATATATATATTTTTTATATATGATAAGTGTAAGTGGAGTAGTTGCAGTAGTAAGGAGAGTAAGACAGCGGAGAATGTGGAGGAGTATAACAATGACGTTAAATGCCCACTTATTAACAGTGCATCAGATTTTAAGGAGATAGGCTATTTGAACTCAATCCTTGTGTCGCTGCATCACTGTCTAACATTCATGCAAAAGCCATCCATGGAAGTTGCCGTAGACACATCTGAGGGTAAGAAGTTCAAGGGATGGAAACTCTCAGTGAAAGGAAACGGGAGGACACTCAGCTTTTCTCTCACCCTGTCGTCGCCCGTCTTTGAACACTTTTAAAAGGTCCGCGTCCCTTCTAAGTAGTGGAGGTACAGCGACATTGAGCACTTCAAGGTGTAGTCTGACGTATGTTGTGTACAAGCTGAGAAAGAACCCAGGAGTGAGTGCGCCTAACTGTGTATGTGTAAAGTTTATGACCACACATGCTCTCGCTACATCCCCTTGTATACATCTTGCCGTTAGAAGTAGACCTAAGCTACGCTCAGACGATGTGCAGGACAAGTTTTCCTGGCACGGGGTGTAACTTACGTTCTGCAGCCTACAGGTGCAAAGTTACACTACTTTGTAGTTTTCCAGGTTAGAAACATACCACTGACTACCGACCACTCTTCCAGGAGTTTTAGGTCTGCCTGAAGCCTATCTGAGTCTCTGGAGTACTTTATTGCGCCCCAAATCTTCAGGTAGTCAGAGTAAAGAAGAATCAGGCGGCTTGGTCGGCACGGTAGGTCACTGATCAAATCATTACATCAGTGCCCCAGGATGGAGTCCTGAGATACTCGTGAAGACGATCTGTGCCAGAGTGATCTGACAAGTTTGACTAAAATGCAGAATTTTCATTCCTCCAACCATGGCAGATGCAGCCCTCCTGTATGCGCCCCACCTGTTTTGCGTAGGAAAAGGTCATAGCGAACTGCGTCAAATACCTTTTCGAAGTCTGGAAATATCACATGGGCTGGAACATTCATATCCCGGCGTGACGTACAATCACTTCAGGCTGATGGTTTGTCTGCTACACAGGATCTACCTCTCCTGACATCGTGTCAATGTAGTTGAAGAATGAACGACCAATTCGTGTTTGTTTACTCAAAACCAACTCCATATTTTGGAGGGAGTCACCAACACTGCAGTCATCCTTCCATCGTACGCCGTTCTGTAGAAGATGAAGAAATACTATCGTAACGACAATGGATAAGAGTCAGGCAACAGATCGTTTATTAAGGAAATAATAAATAAATTTATTCTCATAGTACAGTAATGGGGGACGCCAGTTTACAGGCATCATCAAATTGTTACAGAAGTAGAACCATATTATTCAGTCACGATTTACAGACGGTAGCAAGATAAGTTTTACATGTACGCTGGAAGTTATACATACACTTGATAAATGCTAATCCCAATAGTATAAAACAGCCTCTTCACTTATGTACAATCATTTCTGTGCACAGTTGGAAAAATCTGCTGGATTGTCAGTGAGTGCAACACATCAAGAAATACAGAAGTATTGTCTTCGCATTAACAAAACAAGCAGGTTTTTGGTGGATGGGTTATAGGTGCCTGGGAAAAAAATAAAGCTCGAAGTCAATTTTCATACATAACTTTTTTGTGTGCAAAACCCTTGAATTATAGTTCATGATGTGTTATTTGAAATCAGTGATATGTTCATCTCATTTGATCTGCAATGTCATTGTCGGGAGTAAAATACATAAGCCTTAGACGCATTAATCAATGGATTTCTAATGCTTGTGGGTATTTTTCTCGTGAGGAAGCTTTATGAATTTCAGCCGTTCCGACAGAAGTTGTGAATATTAACTATTCAGCAACATTATAGGCATAAGTTCATCACATTATCTTAGGAAAGATGGGTTGTAGTTGGTGAGGTATATATGTTGCCCGACGAGCGCACATCTGTCCATGTGATGTTGTGGTGAGTTATACCTTTTTCATGTTGTCAGTTTATGTCCATCTTATCCCACTTATTGTGTTGAGTAGAAGTTTTACAAGCGAAAGTTTTTGTCTGTTTTAGGGTAAGTATCTTAATCGTCAATGTTTTATCTAAAATTATAAATATAAGCAATATGGTATAGGCAAGATATAGTATTTAAGCTTATACATTAAATGGACCTATAACTTCGGAGGCACTCAGATAGGAACTAGAACTACTATAGTTTGCAAACTCTTGTATTTATATATGCTTCATGTACATTATTAACGGAATTTCATGATTCACCTTATCGCAATAACCGTATGGGTTGCCATCTCCAGTGAACAGATGATCGTATTTATTAATTAACTCTGTCATATTGTATACCGTCGACAGCTTCACCGCTGCTATCTCGCTGGTCTCATACATGTTGATATGCTCGTATTTCGTGATCACAACGTTCGCTTGCGTGTCGATTATTGCACCAATCTCCCGCAGAAAATTCGCTCCTAATGTCGTTCGCTGTAGTTCGGGTACAACAATGAAAGGAGACGTCGCCTCGCAGCCACCAACAACGACCGTACAGTTCGATCTACCCGTGATACGCAACACATGCCCGCCTACTGTTTTTACTGCCAATGAACACGGACTAACACTCTTACATAAGTTCTTATGTATTAACGACACGGCCGCCCCTGTATCTACTAAACATACTACTTCTCGATTATTCACTCGCAACTTCGAATACACAACCCCTTTCTCGTGATTCGTTACATAAAATTTATCTTGTTGTAGTACTTGCACAAGTACTATACCACTTCCATACTTGTAACCACTAACTCCATTTCTAATAGTTATGGTTAATCAAAGTAAAAAGCAACGAACCCAATCCCCTGTAAAACTGGTGTCTAATTTAACGTCCTTGATTGCTACATCAAGCAACACACACCCAACAAACGGCTATAGTGAGTCACATAACTCACGTGTATGCCGTAAGCGTCGAGCTGAAACTGAGGATAAAACTGTACTGACAGCCAGTATTAGCACTACTCCTAAAAATTCGGTACCCTCTGCTCATACAGAACTCCTCCCTTCACCTTATGTGCTTATGGAGAAACTCCAGCCATCAAGCTCTTTTTCAGTACTATCTTCAGAAATAGAACTTCTAAAGTTGTCTATAGGAGAACTTAAGGCTGAGTTAAGGGAAATAAAAAACAGTAAGTCAGTAAATGCTGGAAACATCGAAACCAATACCGAGATATCCAAATTATCAGATCAGATCAGCGATATCAGATCGCAGGTCTGTGAACTGACACCTCTAACTATCCTCATGAAAACGGTAAACCTTAACAAGCTTGACACAGAATCGGTAACTAAGGTAGATAACCTCATTAATTTTGTTACCACAGAAGTAACAAAACGACTCGACGCAAAACTGAGTGCTATTGTCTACAACGTTCCGGACAATGAGGCACTAAAAAAGGTACAGCGCATCTTACTTAGTGAAGCGAAAATGCCTAACTCCAAGACTAAGTGCTATAGGCTGAAGAAGAGTCAACATGAAAAGTGTTGTCCTATTCGTTTTCAGTTCGAAACACCGGCAGAGACCAGAAAATTCATTCACTCCCAACACACCCTATCGCAAGCCAGAAACTACAAACATATAAAGGTCGGGGTGGAAAAAACAGTTATAGAAAGGCGCGCACACAACTATCTCACTAAGACTAATTGTGAAATAGGTAATAGGACATTGCAAGCAGCCATTATTCCCAACCCTGTGAAAGATACAGTAGACCCCACCGCATCACCCCTCTCAAAACACACAGAAATATCCCATCAGAGTGCAACACCAGCCGAAAGGCCACTAGACTGTAACCAAATAAATAATAAAACCATACCACCCATCACCGCAGAATCTAAAATGCCACTAAATAACCCCAGAAAAAAGTCAAAACCCCCGAAATTCGACTTTGTCCTCTCCTAGCTATAATTCCATTGGTAAAGATAAGGAAAATATGCCCCTAAATCATACCAACAAAAACAGTGGCAGCTTAAATAAGCCCACACTCCCCACGGTTAATAGTATTAGCACTCACAACGTGCTAAATCGCACCGTGGCACACACTAATATCCAATGTCACAACGATGTCACCCTAAATAGTACAAGTGGTAATAGTCAGAACTCGGCTACCAACAACTCAGGGTCTTCAGAGTATGGCACACAAACAAATTTCGACCGGATATATGGTACAAGTCTGCTGGGAACTAACCCAAAATGCAGTACACACGAAACCCACACAAGGACACAACTAGCATCAAACAATAGGTGGAATAATAAGCCATGGTCATCACAAGGATCCAATCATTTTTTATCCCCCGCGTCCCTGTCAGCGTTGAAAAAACAGCTGGTAGGGATGTTAACACTCCTAAACCACTAGTGCTGGCTCCCTCCTTGCATGAAAACAGGAACGGTCTAGTGCACCCGTATCCATTGGACACACTTGACACTTGCACAAGTATAGGCCAAATAAAGAACCCTACCCACTTCTGTAACC